AATCTCTCACATTAACTCATAATTCTCTTCACGTAGTTTTAAAAAGCATGTTTATTCACCACACTCACATTTAACTTCAGATTTAATTTCATTTCAATTTTAGAATTCCAATTGTTAATATCTTTTTTACAACCATTCCAACATGTCGTTCAGAAATGGTATCAATATTTCGCTTAAGCGATACCGATGTGCCCGAGCGAAGGATACCCACGTTAATCGATTACACGATACGCGCGACATAATCGTATAAATATAATATACGTGGATTACCTGAGCACGACCGGCTTCAATAAGAACTCGCAAGCCGCCTATACTTTTGCTACATAACGAATCAAACTCGCCACCAGGCTGCGACACTTGCAATATACAAATTGACTACACTCTCGATTCCACACGTACGTGCGTTGCCGAGTTGTTTAATTATTTCAATTACTTTCAGTTAAAATACCACGGATTACTTCGATCTTTATTGACTTCGAACAGACATCATATTTTTTGCCGCGCAACTATTCATAGATATTTTTAATGTAAATCTATTAAAAATACTAATAAAAATATCATGATAGTTATGATAGTTTCCATATAAACAAAATTGCAACGTACGAGTACTTTAAAATGAAAAAAATACAGATGTCTGATCGCAATTATATTCTAAGTATCGAAGTCCACGGTACATATACATATATATATATATATATTCGTCTAGCTTCGTCTTTACTTACGTCGCGCGTCGTCAGACGGATGTAACATCAATGACAAAATCAACTAAATACCACAGAAAGCGCGTGTGATACTATGATTAACAGCTATGTAGAACAGTCTACGATTACTTAACTACCTACTCGTAATTGTTATAAAACTCCGAAAAACATCGTGACGTATTATAATCCGCCGCTAAAACGAGTTCTCACGGTTGCTTAAGTCAATTAACAAAATTGTATTCAAATAATAGGAAAGCTGTTTGTTAGACTATCATACTTCTCTCTACACCCCTTTATTCACCTTTTCTTTCTATAGATCATTCGTCCGGAATGTATAAACTCCCTTCCACCCTTGACACTTATCACTGATATCGGTGCGAAGTTCTATTTACCCGATATATATCGCCGCGGCAAATCCGCTTCGCATTTCGCGCGCTTTAGAAAATTGATATGTATTTTGTCTATGCATATCTTATCGTGCCCTCTCATTTTCACTTTCATTTTTGGTGTCTCGGCAATACTACTATGGTCATTACTTTCGAAGTGTGGTCAGGCTCGAAGGAGCACTTTATTAATCCTGGTTGCCCTATATGCTCATATTTATATTATGATAAGGTACGTAGCCTTTTTCGGCGCTGACAAATTTGAAACGTGATTTTCATAACTAATTTTAAATAAAAAAATATAGAATTCAATTATTTTTTACCCGATTTTTTTAATCATCAAAAAGTCTAATGACAATTCATCGCCATCGATTGTAAGTTTTTACGGGCGATCTCTGACTACCGCAGTGCCGCAATGCAATCTTTTCACTTTTCATGTGTTATATTTATTGAAAAAAGTAATGGATTATGCAATATTTATTTTGATATTAATCAAACATAAAACTTCAAATTAATATAACTTTGGATTATGGTTTTCGTATAATTTTATGTGCAAAAGTTTTAGAATCTCGAGAATCGATCCTATAATAGGATGTCCTACAAGGACGGAATCGGGGTTTACGAGAGAAACTCAAAAAGCAAAAGCGAATTATACTTCCGTGCAATTCAAATATCTGCCTTGATTCTTAATCGCGCTATTATTACGGTAGATTAGTGCAGTCTAGCATCAGGTGGTGCATATTAACAGTTTTTTTTCACAGCGTGATAGTAATCTTTGTGAGGTCTATTGGTAGTCTTTGGATCGACACATTGCCATCTTTGGTGATCTCGCGTTCTTCGATCTCGCTTTCTTTCCCCTTTCAGTGAGTTTCACGCGAAATTGTTATAGTAAATCAAATTTTATAAGATATTTTTTAGTATGCAAACCATTCGAATTGTAATTTGCCGAAGTGTACAGTGAATCAATCATGCGAATAAATGATATCAAAGCAGGAGCGTGTCTTCTCGAAGGAAAATCGTACAATCGATGAAATCAGTTTAATGCTGCAGATTTCTTAATTTTCAAAATATTTGAACATTTCACACATATCTTTTACATATATATTTGTTAATTCATTGATTCGTACATTCTTATATTTATGAATGTAAAACAAAGATTCCAGCGTATTTATATAGATGACATTTATTTTCAATCCCCTATATCGTTATTAATTAATAATTGTATATTTACATTTTATTTGTCAAATGTACGATTTTCTTCCGAGTTTTCCACTTAATAAACGACACTTTTCGCTTTTTTTCTTTCAGAATAAAAGAGCGCTATAGGGTCCCCGTCACGCTCACATTTTGCATAATTCGTTTCGCAGTGCGTTGCGCAGGATTCGCTTTCACGATACTGTATCTATACACGTGTATGTATATATATATAT